ACACCCAATCTTGCACACCATGCAGCCTCCCAGCTCCACACACAGCAAGTCCATTCCACATCACACCATAGTGAGATCATGCCAGAGGAAGCAATGCAAAATACCTCAAGTGTCACTAGCTACTCCATCCCCCCATTCCAAAACATATGCAAGATGAAAAGAGACCAAACCTCCAGCACATCTGAATGCCCAAAATGCTCTCCGCAGCCACCAAAATGGTGTACTAAAGTGGCACATACACCTAGTCTACACAGCCCTTTGCTTTTTGGCCAAAATAAAGCTTGGTGGCATTTACTTTACTAACTGATAGGCTCTCTATGGGGCAAGACTACAAATGGCCCTTGCAAGAGGATTAACTATGATCTAACCAGTCTTTCCTCTCTAACATCTATGATCTCTGCCTCTAAACAAGCTCAAGAAGCAGAGGGTCTTGGAGGTGCCAGATGAAAGCAATCCTTTCCTGAAGTACAGTAGCAACATGCTAGAGTGGCTATGCATAAGAGGAACTGCCTGGAAGAGCCAAACAGCAAACCTCAGATTAAACTCCAACAAAAGGGACTGAAAACTACAAGCTTGGGGCTACAGAATCTGTCGGATGATTCATTCCAAACACTACAGCTCCCAGCTTGACTGACAAGTCAGAGCTCCTCATATTTCACAGCAGGAATAAAGGGCAGGCTTTTCCTGGGCCATGTCTCTCACCCACCTAGAACACTAAGTTGGCCACTGATGAGAGATGTTATGACGTGAATGAAATGGCATTTCTCCCCCTCCCCTAGGGCTCCAGCTCTCTGCAAGGATCCTATCTAACTGCTGGAGCTGCTCACAGCCAGTCAAAACAGCTCCAGCCCTATATCACACTGCTATCATACTTCGACAGCTCAGGGAGAGCCTCACTGCATAAAACCATGGGGAGAGGGAGGAGGGAAATAAGGTTACCCAGCTCAGAACCACTATTTCCAAGCAGGTTCACTCCATTGGCTAGTCTTGGGTGCAAGGGACAACTCACAGGGACAAAACAAGTCACAGGTCACCTGCCAGCAGACCGGATTGGGGAGGAAAAAACATAACTTACAATAAAAAGGGAGTGGAGAGAGAGAAGGCCACTAGATCCGACCCACCTCTCACAGCAGCTTTGGGCCCCACAAACCGTAGGACTGACCCCACTTATTCTCAGGCTCGTTTGCCTCTTTCTTCATACAGTTTTTGGGATAATACTTCCCTACCCCACAGGAGGCTTTAACAACACGTATTAAACTGGCCCAACTCAGTGTCACTAGTGGTAAAAGGAACCTACTTCTTAGAGAAAAGCCTTTAGCTTTATTTATAATAATGAAAGAAGGATGGATTTCTTAATCCACTGCAACTCATTTACAATCCACCTACCCAAAGGCTCATCTATTCTCGCCATTTTTACAGCGTGCTCATGAAAAGCACCATACCAATTTAGTCCATAGACGACCATAAGCGCCCCATCACACGAGATCAAACCCTCTTCTCATCTTGCTCTCCAGAGAGGGAAGAA